CTTGACGAGTATGCGACCAGTGATCTTCAACGGTGTTTAGTGGGCGCTTGCTCAGACCAGATGTCAGCGCATCTTGGTACACATTCAGAACATCTGGCTTCGCCAGCTGGCTAGTGTCAATCCGTTCACATCGACGTCGCGGACGTCCACCGAAACGTACTCGGAGGTCGGCACAGACAAGTGCGTGGTCAGAGTCCATGCTCGTGCTCCAAATCGAGCGACAGTTCTGGGCACAGCCTCTCCAGCGGTAACTGCACGCGATATGATCGATTTGCGTCCACGACTGGCCCGAGGCTGGTGGCCGTCAAGTCACACTTCTGCGGGTGCTGTGTCGAAAGTTAGTGCTCACGAGAAACAGGCGAGCATCTTCACACAGCTGTAGCAATCGCTCACCATTATCATTACGGGAGCCTACACCCAGATTCACCGAAAACCCAACGAGACATTGTGTCGAAACAATTGTTCTAAGCTTACTAAGAAATATGCACATAACCCTAGACTCAGGGACGCTGCAGCTTATTCGTCTTGTTTGCCAGTAGCGTTTCCACGCACTGGAAGTTAATTACTTTACACAGTGATCATGCTGGTAAACGTACCAATTGCACCAATGACGAAAAGTTGTGTCTAAGAGGCATTCAACAACAGTCCTGATGTCTGGGATGGAATGATTCAAATATTAACTGGAAGCTTAGGCAATCATGTAATAAATTTGACCCAACATGTTGATACCAAAGTGAAAAGACTCTTCCGAGTTACATATATATATATATATATATATATATACATATATATATATATATATATATATATATATATATATATATATATATATATATATATATATATATATATGACTCCATGGAGTCATCTTGTATCTGACAACGCAACAGGGCCGCTGGAATACAAATGAGTTAGAGAGAAGTCTTGATGGGTATGCCCGAGCCACATGGGATGACGCTTCGCTGCAGTACAAAAACCACCTGTTGCACAAATGTGGGCCGAAACAATATAGAGTGTTGCTCATATGTTCGCAGATTTGAACCGGCGATCCGGGAGTCGCAATTTAAACACTTGAATCAGTCACCGGTCGAACGACACCCACATGACAGTGGCTAAAAGAAAATTTCGGTCTCATGTCCAGTGCGCCACACAAAGTCTGTCAGTCAGGTGCAGTTGTTGTTGTTGCTGCTGCTGTTGTTGTTGTTTACTATAACTTGTACGAGAATTATTGGCAGTACAGAGAGGCTTGAGGTGGCAAGGCCAAACATGGATGATTGAGTCCGTTATTCATTTGTTCTCCGAGCTTGGCAGTTTGGTTGTAAACCAACATGCGAGATGTCATCATCAGTACAGTGTGGTGCAACGCGCAAACGCTGATCGTGATCGACGCGTCAAGTGCGCAAGTTCGTATGAACGTCGAACACGGGAGGAGGGAGAAGTGACAGCTGCCAAAGGCCAAGAGCTGATGGCTGCATAAGGCCTCGCGGCGGTGTGGCGCTTGATTCCCGTGCATCCTCTTTTGCTTTTATGTGTGAGACGCTATTCGTCAAATTTCACCGTTGTCACAAGACATGTAATGTGCACTGGCCCAAAGCAAGGAAGGAGGACAATACGAAAGTTCGACACCAGCAGACGAATATCCCGTCTATATCCCTAACCGAGCATCTGTGGCGGCCAGCCCATGTCATACAACCTTCGCCACTTGGAGTGGATCGTCAGCTGCTCTATCTCCAACAACTCAGTTTCAGTGGGTACCATAGGAGAGGATGAGGGCCCCCAGTGTCCCGTGATTCCTCAAATGGAGAAATCCCAAACGAGTTGGCTTCTCCTGCTCTGATTTTACCAACCGGACAGATTGTGGGATCGAACCACTCCTTGGACCGCCAACTCCGCGTTCCGGCTTGCTCGCGCTTCATTCCCCCTGTGTTATCACCGGCAGACAAACTCCATTTCACAATTAGCACACCCCCATCTCGATGCCACAAGCCTACACCAAGTCGTCACCACCCGTGTACAGATGGTTGAAAAATCAAACGGCCGACAGTCTATGCTATGCCACATAGTGCGAACCCAAAGCAAGTCAGGGTCAGAGTAATATCCATTTAATCTTCACGACGCAAACGCAGGCGCAACCAAGCGATGCGTGTGTATCTCGGTTGGAAAACTCTGTTTCGCAGCTCTATCAGATTTGCCGCTACTTGGTCAAGGAGAACTCGCAGCTAAACGCGATGGTAAGGAATTTGCTGCTTTACCGTGATGTGCCCGAAGACTGCGCTCGCATTCAGACAACTTGCATGTTCCTATACCCATCAGTCACTCCTCATTGCTCGTCCAAGCTCCACAACGGCCAACAGATCAATCGCAGTATCTAACTCCCTATTACTTGTGCTTCAGTGCCGGGACTACTGTTTGCGGCGCTGTGCCGATGTTACAACGACTTTTATCGCCCGATGCTAATGCAAATCTGCCCTAGGTGGACCAACCACAAAGATCCTCTGCTAGATCTCCTCTCCCAATCAACTCAGCAACAGACAGTACAGTCAACTGCAAAGAGAACTACAGCGGCTGTTTCTCTCTTGGGCACAGTTACCTGCCGACGTCAGCCATTACGTGTCCAACCAGCTGACCCCTTCGGATAATCAGATGGTTGCTGCTTTGCTATCATTTGCTTCATAAGTACCAACGTAAGCGGTCCATCAATGGAGTAGTCCTACCGTAGAGTAGATCAATTCGTAACCACACTTCAGTTCATCCTCCGGGCCGTTAATGACCAATGTACCCAGCATCAAATATCTCGATTCCCTTACCTCTTGATGCTCGACCATTGTCTACTCAATCCCTGCACGCAGATCAAACATAGACAATCCAATCAGCAAGATTGCGAGCTACATCACACCGCACTGACGATGCGACTTCGCATGATGGTGAAACCTTTGTAATCAAACTACCAAGCTCGAAAAACAAATGAACAACCTAATCATTAACCCGAAGTGCCAGTATTGCGGAACATTTCAAACGGATGATAGGGTATTCAAGTGGAATCATCGGTGTAACGTGTCATGTAGCTAATGAAAGTGACGACTAACCTAAGGGCTGTGGGTTCGTTTCGGGTTGGGGATCGCGCGAACCACTTTACGCGTAGCTCGAGATCTTACGGGGCATAGTTCGCAGCCGGCGCCACCAGTGGCGCCCCTGTCGTCATTTCCTAGTCGAATTACCTGGTTAAAGAGTGCCTAATGTTGAGCTGTGGTGTAAAGCTGATTATGACGAGTGGCAGTGACTGCATGGGAATCGATTCGCTTTACCTTCGCACGACAGCTATTTGTTGATGATCCAGTGTTGTTGACCAGATGTGTGTACGCTATAGCACTGAGTGTTTGCTTAGTGCACTTCGATTTAACACTAGGTTCCCATCATTGCTCTTGGAGCGAAACATCATTACGAAGTACCAATGTTTGGCGACGATGGCGATTGGCGATCTAATTGCGCTAAGCAAAGCCAGTGTTCAAAGGGGGCAAATGCGAAATCTTGATTGGTTGCTAGATTCTTTGCTAACTTTTTCTAATTCTGGGAGCTTCGAGAGTACAAAGGGGTAGTAGAAGAATATGAATGATGGAAACAGAAATCCATCACATCTAGATACATTCAGGTAGCCATCGCGCGCACGGAAATGTACTACACGGCCAGTTTCCGGGAATCGTAATCAATGCGCATTTCAGCTGACTCGCGTGCGGCTGGAACCCACAACTCGACTGTTGCCAGTCTGTGGTCAAGACTCCAAAGCTACGTGGGGCGGTAACGACCGTTGTGATCAAATCACCAGATGTGACAAAGCGCTGTTCACGGATCTGCACGTTATCATCGCGCAAAGGACAAACGAACCTTGTTAGCAAGCAACGAACTTATCAAGCTTAAGACACTAATTAGGCTACGGCATTGGGGGATATGAATTGTGTAAGTAGAAGTTTATCACATCTAGACTCAATCAGATAGCCAACACGCGCCCGGGAAAGCACTGTACGGTTGTTGCATCCTTTCAGCGATGCACATTCTATCTGACGCCTGTGAAGCTCGAACTCGCAACTCGACGAGGGTGCTACCTTTTGTCCGCACGATTGTAACTTGCAAGTCCGTGGATAGTGAGCAGTGCTGTATTACATCTGGCGATCTGATCCCGACGGTCGCTACCGTCTCCCGCAGCTCAGTGGTCTTAACTAGGGACCGGCAACAATGAAGTTGCGTTTTCGAGCCCCACAGCAGTCAGCTGAAATGCGCAAATGCCAAGGATTCCCGAAAGGATAAAGCGGCCGTACAGTACATTTTCGTGCGTGTGATGGCTGTCTAACTGAGTCTATATGTAGTGAATTTCCACTTATACGGTTCGAGTCACAGCAATCATCAATGCGAGCTGGGTGGCCTAAGGAGTTGAAATCAGTTTCAGAGCTATAAATCATCCCCTGGTTGCTAATTTTTAGTAGTCTGGTTGCGCTGATTGTGCGCTGCCACTAGAGGTACATAATCGAACACACTAGGTCACTTCATCGAATGTACTCAAGATGTGGCACCCGTCTTAGCTCCAAGAAATGGACAGTAATGCTGCACAGCGGTGACCAGAAACAAAGCTGCGCCTGCTTGCAATCTCCATCCTGTGCAGTGGTAGAGAAATAAGATGAGAGGAGTGAGATTTGTCGGAAAATCACATTGGTGCACCCAATGGTGATAGGCAAGTATGGTAGACAAGTATGTCAGGTTCACGATTGACATAGGACAACATGCTGTCGAAATAATCGCAACATGGTTCATCGTTTGGCACAAAAACAGTATAACAAGTAGCGATACGTAAGCCCATTATGGTGATGGCGGCTTTTTCACATGTAGGCGCCCGACAAGCTGGGCTCTGCTGCGAAGTTGAATGGCAACTGGGGACAAGATACGATCCGGTGGACCACCTTCAGCACAATGTGGGCACTCAGTAGCATTCAAGATAGCCGCCAACTTACCCGTGACCACGAATGGACAGGTTGAACACACCGAGACGGTCGCAACCCAGTGAGTCAGCTCCACATTGAAGCACAATCGCCGTGGGCCTGTAGAACGTGACAACATCGTTGATGACGCCACGGAAGACGTTGAAGTATGCTGAAAGAGCATAAAAGACATTAGCGTAGGTATGTGCGTAAGGTTCGGAGGTCACAATAACATAAAAAACGACACACGAAGTGAGTAGGCGGCTGGTCGCAGTCACGATCCGAATCACAAAGTGACCAGCGCCCAAATGAATGGATCCTGACACACATTCCCCAATATAATGTAGGGGGTGCGTTTGGTTGCTGAGTTTGCATTCCGTCAGATGGATGGGGTTCGGCAAATAATGAACGAGTTATACAGTAAAAAATAATAGTATGTGCCAATGTAAATTCTATCAATGACGTGATTACTATAATCATCATCATCACCATCAATATACATGTCAGCTAGAGGTGGTAAAACACCTCCGCTATTGTACCGCAATACATAAAGGAAGTACATACATACATACAATACATAAAGGAAAAATAAATACGACAGTTGCATGCCAGCTGAGCTACCAACAACGGATAGGCATCGTTCCGGTAAGCTACCAGCCAGCTACTAGGCAAAAAGAAAAAAATATTATGTTTTACCCTACGAAATGAGATCGTAGATGGAGGGGGAGGCTAAAGGGATGGGGAGGGACAAAGAAACTCACAGCAGGAACGCCACTGAGGTCGGCTCCTTGCCATATCAGCAAGTGTATCCAGCCAAACGTGTTCACCGTCTTTTGGACCCCAACCAGGGAGCCGTGAAGCTCCAACTGAGGCCAGCTCCGAAGTGAGGGCCTTCATTCCTCTGGACCAAGTCATCGCTTGGCCACCTCTCCTCTTCTTCCACCCACATCCCCGGTGAGCAAACAACGCACGTCGAGGGAGTCGGTGGGCTGGCATGCGCAACACGTGGCCCAGCCATCGGAGCCTGGTGAGTGAAATGACGGTGCTGAGCGGTTCATTCCCTTTTCCTAGGCCGTAAACAAGGCGTCGAACACGCTCGTTACTCACGCGGTGTTCCCACCAGATGTGAGCCAAACTGCGAAGGCACCGATGGTCGAACGTAAGTAGCCTCTTCATGTCCGCCGATCTTAGGGGCCAGGTTTCGCAACCGTACAGTAAGGTCGAACGTACCGCTGCATTGTACACTCTACCCTTCAGGGCGAGAGTAATGTCGCGCCGTCGCCATAGGTGGCGAAGCTTAGCAAAAGCACTTCGAGCTTTCGCTATACAGCTCGTGGTCTCGTCTTCGATCCCAAGGGCGCTGATACAACTTCCCAGGTAATTGAATTTCTGAACGACTTCTAGCTGATCCCCACCAAGGGTCAGCACAGGGGGCGATCCCTGCCAATCCTGGAGGAACGCTTTGCACTTCGGTGGTGCAAAGCAAAGCCCGAAGCGACTGACAGCCAGTGCTAATCTGTCCAGCGCGGCTTGACACGTCTGGGAGCTGTCACAGATGAGGGCAATGTCGTCTGCATACTCTAAGTCAAGAAGTCGTTCTCCTGGGAGTAGCTCCACACCTTCCAAGTCATGTCCTGTAAATGCAATCTCCATGACTTCGTCAATAGCGAAGTTGAATAGGAAAGGTGACAGCGGGCATCCTTGTCTCACACCGCTGGAGATATTGAAGGGTGGCGACAGCCTGCTGTAAGCCCTTACTCTGCCCGTGCTACGCGCATATAATGCTTGGATAATATTTACATATTTCTCGGGCACACCTTTCCTGAGTAGACAATTCCAAAGGGCACATCGAGCAACCGAATCGAAGGCACATCTGATGTCGAGGAACACGACTACGGTGGGCCGCCAATATGTGTGACGGTGCTCCAACAACTGACGCAAGGTGAAGATGTGGTCGATGCAGTCACGACCCCGACGAAACCCGGCTTGCTCCTCACGAATCTGGCTTTCACGAGCGCCAGTCAGTCTGTGAAGAACTATGGAGGCGAGTAATTTGGAGGCGATGGAGATCAGACTGATTCCTCTATGGTTGCCGCATTCCGAGCGCGAGCCGCCTTTGAAGATGGGAACAATAACGGAGCGGCTCCAGTCGGTTGGGACAGTTTCCTGCTCCCACAGTTTCACTAGTAATTCATGCAAAGCATCAACAAGAGCAGAGCCTCCGAATTTGAGGAGGGCTGGAGGAAGATCATCTGGTCCCGCGGCTTTGTTCAACTTCAACAGTCCGATCTCACGTTCGACTTCTGAGCGAGAGGGTGGATCCAAAGGGACAGCCCACGGAGCGGGGCGATCAGTGACCGGCGAATCGAACAATTCTTGCCGATTAAATTGCTTTGCAAAATGCTCAGCCCAACGCTCCAGACGTTTTGACAAATTGTGGATAGGCTGTCCACTCTCGTCACGTATAGTTTCACTAACACCAGGTCTCCTGCTGCTCGTTTCCCGTATAAGACGGAATAACTCACGATGGTTGCCAAGGGCAGCGGCCACTTCCATCTCTGACGCACGAAGAGACCACCAAGATTCGCGGTCTCTCTTCAGGCTAGCACGGAGTTTTGCCCGGAGCTCTTTGCGAGTTTCATTGTGCTCGCTTCCAGCCGGGATTTGCCGGCGAGCATCTATAAGTTCCAGAGACTGCGAAGAGACCCAATGTCCATGTTGTCTATTAGACATACCACATGAGGATTTGCCTGCTGCTAGTAAGGTCTGGCGAACATGTGACCAGTGACCATCAATTGTCTCCAGTGAGCGCTTGCTCAACTCGCATGTTAGCGTACTTCGATACGCATTCAGAACAGCTGGTTTTGTCAGTTGGCTGGTGTCAATGCGCTCACAGCGTCGTCGTGGGCGTCCGCCAAAGCGCATCCGCATGTCAGCAAATACAAGTGCATGATCGGTGTCCACACATGTGCTCCAAATCGAGCGACAATTCTGGATGCAGCCTCTCCAGCGGTAACTTATCGCAATGTGATCGATCTGCGTCCAACACTGGTTCGAGGTTGGTGGGCGCCAAGTCACCCTTCGGCGGGTGCTGTGTCGGAAATTAGTGCTCGCAAGAAATAAGCGAGCATCTTCACACAAATGAAGTAACCGCTCACCGTTATCATTACGGGAGCCTACACCGTGTTGACCGCCCAGATGCAGTTCATCAGTGGACAACTTTCCAACTTGTGCGTTCATATCCCCCGCCAGCACAAAAGTGTCCGTGCTTCTTCTGTGGCGAAGGAGCTGGGTCAGTTGGTGGTAGAAGTCATTCTTTACCGAATCATCGTTACAGTTTGTGGGCGCATAGGCAGCGATGATGAATAGACATCTATTAGTCCCGCGCGACTTCGAAGCTTTAAACGAGCCAGCCAATCCGACCGCACACATCCGGCTACTGATTGGAATCCAATCAACCAGAGCAGCTTCAGCCCGGGGACTCAGGGCAATACCAACACCAGCTTGGCCGGTGCTTGAAGCTGCATCGTCACCGGATGGGTGCAATAAGAAAATACTGTTTGCGTTACCTGAAGGAGATCGCAGAGTGAGCACAGTGCTCGAGTCTTGCAAGCGAGTCTCTGATAAGCAGCAGATATCGATCGAGAGGGTCTCCAATGTTCGGGCAAGTGCTGCCTGTTGACCGATTTGTAGCAGTGTGCGTACATTGAGGCATGCCAATCTGAAGGAGGATCGAGGGCTCCAAATGGAAGCCGATGAACTGGATTGGACCGCTTGCTTGGACATGGGCTTGTCGACAGGAGAGGAGTGACGCTCCGCGTTCACATGTGAGTTGAAATTAGAAGGTAAATGCCTAGCAAAGCATGTTGGGGGAGGGCCAAGAATCGGGGGGTTGAAAACTGGGGGGATATAAGTGAAGTTGGAAGGGGACGGTAAGAGTGAAAAAGCGTAAGAGGGGGAATAAGAAGATGGGAAGGTTTGAGCAGTAGCATCCAAACCCCTATCCACCCTGCTCGATGCAGCAGATAGGGCACCGTTGATTATCCTCTGCGGTGGCCAGAGCATCAAGAAATTGTTTGACGAAAGATTCATTGTATTGCGTAGGCAGGATACTGTCAGGTTGCCCAGGCCTAGACAGGAGAACGATTAGGGTTCTCAACCAAAGCCTTTGGTTCAAAAACCTGACCGCAAGGCAGCGGGTTTGGCGTTGGGCTACAAGGAGTCCATTTTAAGGAATAAGGTGCCACCCTCATTCCAACCCCCAACCTGGAGGACCAGGAGGCTGAGTTTGTCTGGCCTCTAACCATTGACCAATCTGGTATGAGTGACTCTGAAGGTGCAAAAGCACCACCCAGAGTAGCTCAATGGATCGCTGAGGCACACAAACCATCGCACCACGGTAAGGTCCAGCCTCATTGCCTCATTACTATCCATCTAGTAAAGACCAAGGTGAGAGCAGAAGGCAAGCAACCGGGCGTAATCCATGAAACGAACGTACTGAGCAACCAATGTGAGCTTGCTCCACGTACACTTCAAAGTGATGAGTAAGTGGCCGGCAATTAGTGAGCAGCCAACAGAAAAGACTCGGGATGATTAGAGACTAGAAGGTAGATAGGATTATTGTAACCGTCCTCCCTTTGATAAGCTGATGGGGGACATTTGTCCTGTTCCTATAGACCGTACTCAGCTGCCGTGTGATTAACCATCGATCAGTCCAGATTATTATTAGTTCAGATGCATGAGTAACAAGTACATGTACCACAGATAAATGAAAAACTCACTATCGTCATCAATGCCCTCCCTTAAGGGAACATTGATTGAATAGTACTTCCCGGCTTTGGCCCCGATTTCATACATATCACCTGGAAGAAAGCGGAAGACAACGAGTTATGTCAAGAGTAATTTCCCGACGTTTTCCATGGTCTCAAGATAAAATGCAGTGCCGGTTTCTTACAACTTGTGAAGGCAGACATTTATGACTTATTTGATCTGTGGTTATTTCCGAAATCGGCTAAATTAAAAGTGGGGAAAAATCACAGTTGCATGGTGTTAAGAAAAGTGTCAGAACTAAACAATGAAATGTGTGATTTTTCAACCTGAGTTCGTAGCAATAGTGACGTAACTTCAGGCGACTAAACTGTAACCAGATAAAATGCCTGAATCGCTAGTAAATGACGGCAACATTGGTAAAGAAAGCTATGAAAAGCGCACACCAGTGGGCTCCATTATTTCCAGACTGTATGATCACCCAAAGATACACAAATCAGATTTACCACTAA